CAGGGACAATGCCAGAATAAAAAAAGTCCCAGACAGAGGCACAGGACAGTTGAGCCTGGCCCTGTGAGAAATTGAAAACAGTATTATGACGCTGTCCTAGGAGTTGGCTAGGAGTTCTTCTGTCTACCTTGTACATAACCTTGTCTGGAAGAGATGTTTGCACACACAGTATGTGGCAGAATTATTCACAATAGCCATAAGTTGGAAGCAGCCCAAGTGCCACAGAAGGAATGAATAAAGAAATGTGGTATATACATACAATGAAAATTATTCAGCTGTAAAAAGGAAATTCTGGCACGTTGTAAAATAGATGAACTTTTAGGATATTATGGTAAGTTAAATAAGCCAGTCACAAAAAGAAAAATAGTGTGTAATTCCGCTAATGTGAGGTACCTAGAGTAGTCAAATTCTGAGAGACAAAAAGTAGGCCAAAAGGGAAACCACTAGTAGGCTAATGGTTTCCAAGGGCTTGGAGGAGGGGGGAAATGGGGAGTTGTTTAATGGGTATAGAATTTGTTTTGAGAGATAAAAAACTGTGTAGACTGGTTGGGCAACAATGTGAATGGACTTATTACTGAACTGTATGCTGAAAAATGGTTCAGATGGTAAATTTCATGTTGTGTGTATTTTACCACAATTAAAAATAAATAAAAATTAAAAGTTCTCCCTGAAATTTTATCTCATTCTCTTCCCACAGGCCTAGGAAAACCATGGCTGCTGCTAAGGGAACGGCCATTGGCATCGACCTGGGCACCACCTACTCCTGCGTGGGGGTGTTCCAGCACGGCAAAGTAGAGATCATCGCCAACGATCAGGGCAACCGCACCACCCCCAGCTATGTGGCCTTCACGGACACCGAGCGGCTCATCGGCGACGCGGCCAAGAACCAGGTAGCCATGAATCCCCAGAACACTGTCTTTGATGCCAAACGGCTGATCGGCAGGAAATTTAATGATCCTGTGGTGCAATCAGATATGAAACTTTGGCCTTTCCAAGTAATCAATGAAGGAGGCAAGCCCAAGGTAACGGTGTGCTACAAAGGGGAGAAAAAAGCTTCTGTGGTACTGACTAAGATGAAGGAGACTGCTGAATCTTTTTTGGGCCACAGTGTCACCAATGCTGTGATCACCGTGCCAGCGTACTTCAATGACTCTCAACGCCAGGCCACCAAGGATGCAGGTGTGATTGCAGGTCTCAATGTGCTAAGAATTATCAATGAACCCACAGCTGCTGCCATTGCCTATGGCTTAGATAAAGCAGGGCAGGGAGAGTGACATGTCCTGATCTTTGATCTGGGTGGAGGCACATTTGATGTGTCCATCCTGACCATAGATGATGGGATTTTTGAGGTAAAGGCCACAGCTGGGGACACCCACCTGGGTGGAGAGGATTTTGACAACAGGCTTGTGAGCCACTTTGTGGAAGAGTTCAAGAGGAAACATAAGAAGGACATCAGCCAGAACAAGCGGGCGGTGAGGCAGCTGCACACCGCCTGCGAGAGGGCCAAGAGGACCCTGTCGTCCAGCACCCAGGCCAACTTGGAAATTGATTCCCTTTATGAAGGCTTTGACTTCTACACATCCATCACCAGAGCCCGGTTTGAAGAGTTGTGTGCAGACCTGTTTGGGGGCACACTGGAGCCTGTGGAAAAGGCTCTTCGGGATGCCAAGATGAATAAGTCTAAAGTCCATGACATTGTTTTAGTAGGGGGCTCCACCCACATCCCTAAGGTTCAGAGGCTATTGCAGGACTACTTTAATGGTCGTGATCTCAACAACAGCATCAACCCCGATGAGGCAGTTGCCTATGGGGCTGCAGTATAGGCAGCCATTTTGATGGGAGACAAGTCTGAGAACGTGCAGGACCTGCTGCTGCTGGACGTGGCTCCCCTGTCGCTGGGGCTGGAGACGGCTGGGGGCGTGATGACTGCCCTCATCAAGCGCAACTCCACCATCCCCACCAAGCAGACGCAGATCTTCACCACCTATTCGGACAACCAGCCCGGCGTGCTGATCCAGGTGTACGAGGGCGAGAGGGCCATGACGCGGGACAACAACCTGCTGGGGCGCTTCGAGCTGAGCGGCATCCCACCGGCGCCCAGGGGGGTGCCCCAGATCGAGGTGACCTTCGACATCGACGCCAATGGCATCCTGAACGTCACGGCCATGGACAAGAGCACGGGCAAGGCCAACAAGATCACCATCACCAACGACAAGGGCCGGCTGAGCAAGGAGGAGATCGAGCACATGGTTCTGGATGCTGAGAAATATAAAGCTGAGGATGAGGTCCAGAGAGAGAAAATTGCTGCAAAAACTGCCTTAGAATCCTATGCTTTTAACATGGAGGGTGCTGTGAGTGATGAAGGTCTACAGGGCAAGATTAATGAGTCTGATAAGAAGAAAATACTGAGTAAATGCAGTGAGGTCCTTTCATGGCTAGAGGCCAATCAACTGGCTGAGAAAGATGAGTTTGATCATAAGAGAAAGGAATTGGAGCAGGTGTGTAACCCAATCATCACAAAGCCCTACCAGGGAGGATGCACTGGGCCTTCCTGTGCAACAGGGTATACACCTGGAAGGGCTGCCACAGGCCCCACGATTGAAGAAGTAGATTAATCTTTTCTGGAGCTGGAGGGTTCTAGGGTGCCTCTAAGATGAATTTTGTTCCCCTCATCTTTAAACATGGTTATGATTCCTGAATCGACTGGACCTGAAGCTAAGTTACCATCCCTTTTGGATTCTGATAGAGGAGTCTCATATACCATCTCTTCACACTCCAACATCCTGTTTCTGACTCTGGATTGAGACTCTTAGGAAAACTAGGCCTCTCTCTGAACCATGTGAAGAATTTGAATGTCTGTTATTTATTTCCAGCCTCCCCAACTTTCTTCTTCCTGTGTGGATGGTTATCTGTCCCTCAGTAAATTTGTTTCTAAAGCAAATTACTTCTGGTATTTTTAGACTGTGAGTGTATCTTGTAAAGTAGGGAAAAGGAGAGCTCCTGGAGAGACTATCTGTGGTCTGTTTGTGCGCTAATTGTGAATGATTAAACTGATAAGGCCAAAGTATTTGAATTTTCATGAGCTAATTGTTTCAAGAAAAAAACAACTTTTGATCATCAGGCATCTTTAGCCCCAGTTAGAGTAGTTGCTAATTAGTTACTGCTTATATTCAGTGATAGACTGATTTCTGTGCTTAGGGTTCAGCTGCTTCCATGGGTGGGGGCGGGGCGGTGGTGAGGGCCCAAACTTCTGCTTGATGTCCTGATGTCACTTATAGGTGGGGCCTAGGAGATCCAGCGTCTGTGCACTCACAGAGTTCATTATTACAGTCCTTTACATGCTGAAAATATTTCTACAACAAACTCCTAACAAATGTGTACTTTTATGCAAGATGAGAAATGGAAGATGTATTAGTCTTATTCCTTTAAAAAATATTTTCACTTATTGTGTCATAATATCGCATACTTATAAAGACTTGGGGACCCGAGTATAGAAGTACGCGTAACTGTGTAACTGCATTTGTGTCCCTTTCTGTTTGAGAGGGAAATATATATATATATTTTTATAAATTTATTTATTTATGGCTGTGTTGGGTCTTTGTTTCTGTGCGAGGGCTTTCTCTAGTTGCGGTGAGCGGG